GCAGGCTACAGAGACTCACGGCACTGCTTAGTAGGTTTCATGAGGCCTGCGCAGGAGTTTGGACAGGGTGGGGAGGCCCAGGGCTTCTGTGCCTCAACCTGCCCCAGCTAGAGACCCTGGAGCTCTTCCACCCTAGCTGGAGGCCTTTCGTAGACGCGGCAGTCACGCCCAGGGTAGGCAGGGAGGATGTGGAGTCTCTCAGTCCTCCAGCCACCCCCTCCCTCCTGACATCTCTTGGAGCCAGGCCACCCAGCCCTATCCACAGAGCAGCGCAGGGTGGCCTGGTCAGCCCTGGGGGCGGACCCTTGGGTGGTTTCCACTATGACCCAGGGTTATCGCCTGCAGTTTTGCTGCAGACCCCCTGTAACATAATGTCCCAACCTTTAACCACGTGAGCAACCCGAAGCAGGCCCTGGTCCTGAAGGAGGAACTGGTGATGCTTCTGGCAAAGGGGGCCATACAGGAGGTGGACGTTGGGGACAAAAGTGGGGTTTTTCTCCCACTACTTACTGGTCGCCAAGCAGGACGGGGGTCTTTGTCCCATTCTGGACAACAGGGGCCTCAATTGTTATCTCCGGCCCCTGAAGTGCAAGATGTTGATGGTCCTCAGATTCGGGTTCGAGAGCAGATCTTCGATTTCCGCGCCCGCCTCTTTGGCATCTCCCTGGCACTCTGAACCTTCACCAGGTGTGTGCACACCGCCCTCGCTCCTATGAGGCTGCGGGGCCTGAGGATCTTGAATTACCTGGACGACTGGCTGGTCTGCGCCTCCTCAATAGAACAGTGCCGCAGCCATGTTGCCCTTCTGGTCTCCCATGTTCAGGCTCTGGGGCTCCGCCTGAATCCCAAGAAGTGCAGGTTGGAACCACCTCAGAGTACCACCTTACAGGCATGTACCTGGACTGCGTCAGGGGGCTTAGTGTCCCTCACAGCGGAACGGTAGAGCGGGTCCTCAGGGTGTGCCTGGACCACTTCAGCCTCCACTCTTGGGTGAACTGGGGCCTGTGTCTCCGCCTCATGGCCCTAAATGCTGCAGTTGGAATCCCAGCTAGAGGCAGGCAGAGCCGCTTTTACCCTGCGTGGGCTGGTGGCTGCGATTAAGGCCATTTGTCTTGGTCGCTCAGCACTCAGCGACGCCGACACTGCTTTGATTTCGTGGTTCTTGAGGGATGCCCAGATCATACGCAAGGGTCCCCATTCCCCCCGGGATCTGGACCTGGTCCTTTATGCCCTCCAGCACCCTCCCTTCGAGCCTCTGGAAAAAGCAGAGTTGAAGTGGCTGCTGCTCAAAACCGCCTTTCTTCATCGCTAGAAAAATTAGTGAGCTCCAGGCGCTGTCGGTCCATGGTGAATGCTGCAGGTGGCTGCCAGAGGGTCAGGGGGTGGTCCTCTGGCCGAACCCTACCTTCTTGCCGTAAGTCCTCTCAAATTTCCACCTTCCCCAGTCGGTTGAGCTGCGGTCAGCTCCCACAGAAGGTTTGGAATGGGAGGAGGCGCAGCGTCTCTGGGCCCTGTGCCCCGTACAAGCACTGGTGCTGTACCTTGTATGTACTCAGCCAATTCGGACCACGGACCAACTGTTTGTCTCGTTCCATCCCAGGATCCTTGGCAGGCCCCTGTCCAAGTCCCAGTTGTCCCATTGGGTTGTATAGGCCATCCGCCAGGCTTACTCCTTGGCAGCAATCCCTCTCCCCTCGGGTGTGCGAGCACACTCAACACGTGGGATGGCCACTTGTTGGGCCTTGTGGACAGATGTCTCCCTCTCCGCAATTTGTGTGGTCACCACGTGGTCCTCAGCCACCACTTTTACGTGGTTTTACCACCTGAACGTGGCAGCCAGCCCCTCTTTGGGAAGCGGGTGCTGGGTGCCCATCGGTGGTAGCTGTCATTCCCTGGTCTGCCTGGCGTCTTGCAGGACCAGTTCAGGCCAGTCTTGCGGACTGATGCCTCCGCCCCTCGACTTGGCCTTACGTCTGGCAAGGCCCTGGCCGGGGTGGCGTGGATATACGTACATTTGTAAATAGTTCGTTGATACATTGACTCTGGGTTCAGTTGCACTGTTTCCTCGCAGGGTGTCTTACAGAGTTACCCCATACACATGGAATATGTAATGGAGTGGAGAGAGAGTCTCGATATAGCCATGACAAATTGTGCCCCTTTGCGCATTATGGCTCATTTGAAGTGCTGCTAACAGTTGCGGGAAAACCAGTGTGTCTTTGGACACCTGTAATTAATATTTTCAGAGGGCCTCAGTGTCTGAATGGTTCCAGTTCAGCTCCATAACAGCAGCGTCCCTGGTTTGATTCCTGTGTTTCAGCTCATATCTGCCTCTCTCACTGAGGGGGACGTCCACTACATGGAAATGGATTTGATTATCAACCAATCTACAGGTCACTGAGAACAGAGGACATCTTATTCCTCAGATTTCTATATAAAGATGTTTATAGAAAATACTTGATCATATTAAAACAATGGTTCATTTTTTTTTTTTTAAAGGGACTATAGTGTGACTGTAGTTAGATTTCAAAATAACTTTATCAAGCATCATCATATGACAAAGAAAAAAGTGAGCCCCCCACCACTTTCTTTGAACCAATAGAAAGTTGGTGCTCAGAGGAAGAGGGCGGGCTTTACTTGGTGTCAGTGACAGAAATGAAAAAAAGCTCAAATGAGTGAGAAGGACGATGAAGGAAACATCTGTGCTGTGTCTGCTCTGTAAGTAGAATCTCTGTGTTTGTTTGAATTCTTGTACTTTGACTGTCTGCTCTCCTGATAACTGATGATGGAGGAGAAGACATGAAAAACAAATCAGGCTGAATTCAAGTTCAAAACACCACGAGGACCAACTGCAGGTCTGAACTGACTCTTTATCTTTGCTCAGGAGTCGAGGAAACGCAGCAGGCAGTGAAAAGATCAAATCATTCACTCATTATATCAACACAGCTGGACACATGACTTCACTGGGTTATTATAGTGAATATTTGTATATACACTCGGAGTAGTCAGTGTACATGAGTGACCACAGTAAGAGCTGCTTTTTAGATAAAAATTGGGATAGCAGATGGAGATGCCAAACTGTGTGAATACGTTTAAGTAGTAGATCATTTTTAAAGTATATACTCAGCATGTACATAATGATCACAATAAAAGCTGAGTCCACACTCTGTAAATACTTATGTCAGTAAGTTCCTCCAGAATTGTTGATTAAAACAATATAAAAATGTTATTTAAATTAGTTTTAACAGCTCAGGTAGCGGAGAGGTGCAGTGGTTAGTGTGTTTGTGATACAGGCAAAGTGTGAGCCAAATCCAGAAGTGGGCAGAAAGACTCATGTGAAAATGTATTTTCTTTAAACAAAACATAACCAGAGAAATTTTGGCACTAACTGACTGGGGAGGGAGAGAGAGAAAAAACTAACATGGACTGCCTAACAGACAAGCAGGAGAGCACACAGATTGCAGGTGATCAGGATAGGGAACTGAAGAAAACTGAGGGCTTAAATAAAAACATGAGGCAATTAGAGAGAAAGGCCACAGCTGGTGAAAATGAGGCACAGGTGAACCGAAGCTAAGTAACTAGACAAGAGGAAGAAAAAGCTGAACACAATAAGACACAAGCACAAAGAAATAAACACTAACACAAGAGACAAGACTGACTTCACACAGGAGATGCACAGAGACCAGACTCAGATTAACATCAGCGAACAAGGAACTAAGAACTGCAAACATAGACACAAAACTCAGAAGCACTCAAACTCATGACTAAAGATTAAAACACTAGAATGTGAGCTACCTCATAAATCCAAAAATAAAATTCACAACACTGTGTCAATGTCAGTGTTTGTGTCAGTCTGAACTTTATTTAAACATATTCCTGATATCGAACAGAAAATGAGCAGATATTTCAGAGAGAGACGAGTTTGTGTGTTTGTCAGCTGTTTGTGTGGAGTTGTTCTTTATGTTCACCTTAAATCAACCTGAGTGTCATTTCTCTTTAGTTCTGATCTCACTGCTGAGCTGCACAACAAACCAAGGTCAGTAACCTTCTTCTGTCACAGTTTAAACCTGAGAAATGCTCACTGATATGACCTGATTGTGTTCATGCTTCACAATGGATCTCACATATAAAACTGATGAAATGAAGGATAAGGAAAAACATGCAGTCAGGTCCATAAATGTAAATCCTGTGTCACATCATCAATAAACGCTAGTTTCCCAGTGCCACTGCCACCCATGCACTCCCAAGCCATCACACTACGCTTTGGATCATTATGGTAGAGGTTGATCTTGGTTTCATCAGTCTAAAGTACGTTTTTACAACTTTTTTAGATCATTTTCTTTTTTTTTTTAGTAAAGTCGAATGTAGTCTTCCTATACTTGAGGCTCATGAGTGGCTTGCACCTTTCAGTGAACCCTGTGGATTTACTTTCATGCAGTTTAGTTCTAATGGTAGACATAAAGAGAATGGTAGAAAATGCATTGTTCCCTCAGTTGGCTGTACTAAGGATTGTTTCTCATCAGTATTGAAATTATGCGGCCATTCACCACTGTTGTCTTCCATGGATATCCAGGTCTTTTCGCATTGCTTAGTTCACGAAGGCAATTTCTCAGATGTTTTTATGTTTTTTCCTTCTGCAGCTTAAGGGTGGCTTGATTCACCTGCATTGAGAACCGCTTTAACTGCATGTTGTTGGCCCACAGCAAAATCTCCTAAATGCAAGCACAACAACTCAAATCAACTCAAGGCCTCATATCTTAACTGATGATAACTTAACTGATAATGACATAATAGAATTGCAATACCTGCCCATGAAATGAATGGATAAATAAATCATTGTCTAGTTAATTTTTTGGTCACTCAATAAAGATGGTGGCAGACGTTAGGTAGCTGAAACTCGTAAACCCTTCATCCAACTTGAATATGGATGAAATGACCTCAAATGACAGCTGAAAGTCTACACAAGAAATCATCCGTTTTTCATTTTAACCCTCACAGCTCGTCTGACTGTGAGTCCCAGCAGCTCTCAGATCTTTAAAAGAGACTTTGTGTCTCTGAGCTGTGAGGAGGACGACAGCTCTGCTGGATGGACTCTGAGGAGAAACACAAGCAAACAACAGAGGACTCAGTGTGGAAGTACATGGGGAAAACCAGCTGGTTCTTCATGCAAAATCACTATGATGCTTCATGACAGTGGAGTTTACTGGTGTGAGTCCAGAGAGGGTCCCATCAGTAACATGGTTAACCTGACAGTCACTGGTAAGCTGAGTGTGTGGAGTTAGTGTTGATGAAGCTGTGTGTAAATGGATGAAATGCTGTAGTTTGTCTCTGTGTTGAGGTGGATCAGTGATCCTGCAGAGTCCTGTCCTCCCTGTGATGGAGGGAGATGACGTCACTCTGCTCTGTAAAACAAAGACCACTCCCTCCAACCTCCCAGCTGCTTTCTATAAAGATGGCTCCCTCATCAGGAAGCAGCCTACAGGTCACATGACCATCCAGCATGTTTCCAGGTCTGATGAAGGCCTCTACAAGTGTGACATCAGCGGTCATGGAGAGTCTCCATCCAGCTGGATCACTGTCACAGGTGACACACTCACCTGTCTGTGTTTCTGCAGCTTTCAACATTCACAATGTGACGACAACTTAATGACTGTGTTTGCTTTATTTTAGGGGAACACACCTCCACCTACATCCACACCTCCACCTACATCCACCTCTCCTCTTGTTCTCTCTGTGTTGTCATGTGTCGGATCAGTCTGTGTTGTGGTTCTACTGGTGTTACTGGTTCTGCTGGTGAGACGATGTGTTCACAGGAAACCTGAAGGTGAGACTCAGACTTCCTGATCTTTCATGTCTGAGTTTGTTTAGTTGAATACAGTTCACATTCATTATGATCACAGTAACAACTTTGTTAAATGTAATCTATTCAAATAAATGAAATTCAGTTCTTTTTTTATATATTTATAGTGCTGAATCTAAACAATGGGCTCAAGGCCCTTTATATTGCAAGGTAAAGACCCTGTGATAAGAAATAATTGATTATTTAATTAAAAAAAACAACCCCTGAAAAACCCAAAAGACTATGAGCAAATGCTTTGGTGACAGCGAGAAGGAAAAAAACCTCCCTTTTAACTGAAAGAAGCCAGGGTCAGGGAGGGGTGGCCATCTGCTGTGATTGGTTGGCATGAGGGCATGAAGACAGGACAAGGGCATGTTGTGGAAGAGAGTCAGAGATTAACAATGAATAATAATTAATAATATTTAAATGCAGAGAGGTGTAAAAAAACACATAGTTAGCTAAACAGACACAGAAACACTCAGTTCATCATGGGAATTTAGGTTTTCAGCATCACTTTGAGACCGACATGGAAAACGGCACTGTTACATATTTTGTTTAATATGCACATTGAAGGACATAATCTGGTCAAAAATAACTACCAAGCCAAGCTAATGGCACCAAGACTACACACCTGGTTAGACACCAAATTTTTAGATATTTAATCATTATTATTATTATTATTATTATTATTATTATGAGTTTGGATTACTTCAGCAGATCAAGAAGGAGGTGAAGAAGACAATCTCATCACTCATGTCGTCATCAAGATATCAGCTCATCAAGAACAATCTGACAAAGAAAGACAAGGTAATATTATTAATATTTTCTTTATGGTGGGCTGTGGGTCATTGCCCTTGCATGTGAGGTCAAAGCTCTGTTTTTAATATTCGTATTAATAATTATGTAAAGACTTTTACAAAAGAACTACTGAAAAACAATAACAATGATAAAAAACCCAAAACATTACAGAGATATTACAAGGAGAATTTCATTTGAAATCTGCATCAAACATAGTTGCCCCACCTCAACAAGAGCCAATCGGCAGCTGAAACATACATTCTCTCTATCACCTTTTCTATCCCTTTGGAGAAGTGAGGCTCCATAAAGGCTAAAGAGGTAAGTATTTCTCAGTTGCAGTGAATAAATAGAATAAATTGTAGAAAACGAAACAGCAGAAAGAATAAGAGAAATAACAATTTAACATAAACCAGTGACACACTCCAGGGCCTGAACAACCCAGGAGGTCCTCCTTGGATGAGGGTGTCTAGTGATAATGGACGAAACACCCGATGAATCCAAGGTCCACTACTGATGATGTGTCCCAGCTCTTAATATGATAATCTAGATCAGATCTCTAATCCCCCCAAAAAATGGCAGATTAGGCTGGGTAAAAGATGAGGCACACAACGATGTGTGCTGCTGGTGCCTTTCCACATAACAGCCATCCCTCAAGATTGCCTCCATTTAAAGCAATGCATTATCAGGGAGTAATGGAACATGTACTGGTGTTACATATTGAAAATACAAAATATGAGTATCTGTATTCCGATACCCTTTAAAAAGGTGGTATTCAGAATACAGTTACTTTGTTGAAATAAAGGGATTACACGGCGGTCTTTTCCTGTTTCATATCTTAGTCTGTCCCCTCTCTATATTTGGTAATTCCACGCCGGTGGAAACCCAAACAAAACGCGCATTAAGAGGCTCTAAAGCCTGTGTCTTAATCTCACGGCCCATGTTACCTCTACTTTAAAAATATTTAAAAAATATTTAACATGAAGTGAATAGGCAGAGTGTT